GAGCCTCAGCTCTGCTCCTTTCAGAAGAAGGGTGGGGTGGGTACCTCCCGGGACCATCCTTATCCCATTTCCTGGTGGGGGACAGTGAGTCCCCTAGGGGAAGCTGGGCTGGCCAGAGCCACTCCGAGTCCACCTCCAGTGCAGCTCAAATGCTGAGGGAAGGACCTTCGGGTCTTGGTCCCTGCTTGCTATCCACCTGATAGAAGCTTCTAGGGAGTCTAGAGTCTGGATCCTGCCTTAGAGGGGCTCCAGGACCCTGGAAATGGGCTCCAGGAGGCTGGAGAGGTGAGAGGAGGTTGGAGAGGGGGCACTTTCACTGTGAACTTCTTCTCCTGGGGGCACTGGACCCCCAGGGGTCAAGGTGGGGCCTAGGGTTCCTGGGCTGGGCAGGGATGGGCACGCAGGCGTCCTCAGGCCCTGGGAGGACCTGCCTCGTGGGGGTAACACACAGTCTGTTTGCTGCCCAGTTCTGGATCATAATCACCCCTTTATGCTCCATGGATTGTGTGGGCATACAGGCTGACTCCAGAATCGCATGACCCTCGTGCCAGCGCCAGGCTGAAAAGTGGACACCTACCCACCCTTCATTACAGTCACTTCAGCAGAACACCACCACCACCACCACCACCCCCGAGCCCCTCACGCCTCTTTGCGAGTCTTGCTGAAAATCCCCGCTCCAAGACCACCCAGCAGGCTGCACTGACTCAGAGAGGGCTGTCACCTTCCTGCGTCACATACAAGCTTGGGGGCCACAGGCAGGCGATGAACTGTGGGATCTGGGCTTGGGCCAGGGCAAGGTGCCCCAGGTGAGGGGCTGCCCCTCTTTGAGCCTCAGTTCCCTCTGCAGGTGAGGACAGACTCAATTAGCAGAGAAGCAGGGGGATGGGGTGGCACCACAGGGACACTTTATGCTTTTAGGTGCCAAGTGGAACAGCGGTTCCCTTTCCACCTCTCCTGACCCAGCAGAGTCCCACATGCCCCCCAGGTTATCTTATGCTCCCCTCCCAGGCAGCACTGGCCCATCTTTGTGGCCACACCACCCCTGCCATCCCCCACCAGTAGCATGGGGATTTCACATCTTGCTGTTGGAAAAGTTGGTGTTTTAAACCTGCCCAGTGGGTCCAGGGGGTACAACCTGGTGACCTGCTCCTGATTCAGTAAGGCCGATGCTACTGTGTGGCCTCATGCATCGGTGACCTTGTGATATGCGGAGCTGCCTTGTTGGGTTTCCAAGGTCTTCTGGGAGCAGATCGCCATCGCACAGAATTGGGGCTGCTGATGGGTTCGAACCACTGACTTTATACTTATCAGGCAAGAGCATCAACACTGCACCACCAGGGTTCTTTCCGTAAAGAGTATAGCCTAGAAGGGCTTGCAGCGCAGGTCTTCTCCCTCATGGGGGGTCTGACAGACTTGACAGCACCCCACTGAGGAGTCCAGTACACCTGCCTCAGGCGCCCAGGCACTTCCCTGCAGAAGAGTCGAGACAAAGGATTGGCCAGGTGCCATCCTGGCCACCTCCCAGGGCACCTTGCTGCCGTGTGAGTCCACTCCATGTCACCTCTTTTGACATCTCTCCCACCTCTGACCCCAGGGGTCTCTTACTGCTTCCTGTCCTTCCTCTGCTGTTCCATGAACATCTCAGTCCCCACCCCCACCCCCAACACTCATCTTTAAATTCTCAGCCAAATGATAATAACAGCATAATCTAATTTGGAGACAAAGTATTCCAGGAAAAGGGCACAGCCTATGCAAAGGCCCTGGGGCAGAGCTGTCTGTCTACATATTGGAAGATCAACCAGGAGGTGTGGTTGGAGTGGAGTGAGGGGAGAGGAGGATGGGGGTACAGGACAGGTTGAGCAGGGCCCTATGGGCTTAGGAAGAACCAGGCTTCTTCCTGAGGGAGGTGGGAGCCCTGGAGGGCTGTGGGCAGCAGAGGAGGGACTGGCCTGAGTCAGTGCTCATGGGCGCCCTCTGGCTGCTGTAGGGGAAGCAGCTGGAGTCAGACCCAGGGCAGAGGTGACTGCACTGGTCCCAGTGACAGAGATGGGGCCGGGCCAGTGGAGGCAGTGAGGGGGAAGGGGGCAGATTTGAGAAAGCTTATCAAGGCAGAGCTGATGAGATTTGCAGGCATGCCATGTGACCTCTTGGAGAAGACCCAGTACCTGGAGTCTCTGAGGAAGCAGGCAGGAGGGCCACAGAGGCTGCAGGGAGCTCTGGTAGCCTAGTGGTAGGGAGCTGTGCTGCCAACCCAGAAGCACACGGTTTGAATCCAACAGCTGCTCCAGGGAGAGAGTTAGGTGGTTACCTCCCATGATTGACGCCTCTGCAAGCCCACTGGAAGGGAGCAGGGAATCTCTTCTGACCTAGCGGCGTGAAGCAACAACCACCCTCACTCTAGAAAGTTCCTCCTCCAGGGAGGATCTGGGCCTTGGAGATGCTGGAGCTTTCTGTGGTGGTATCCGAGCCTCATTCCCCAGCTCTGTCATGTGTTCGCGACCCTGCTTCTGTGTCCGTCACTCTGTGTCCATTACAGGTCCCTCTTGCTGTCTACCCTCCGCAGGAGGCTGGAGAGATTGGCTTGGGCGAGCGGGGTCCGTGGCCAGCCCACTCCCACCTGCCTCAGCCAGGTTCTGCCAGGCTCCTATCGGGGAGCCTCCAAGAGCCCAGGGTGATGAGGGACCACTGGATGGGACCCAGCGGCGTGAGCTCCCATAGGCTGTGGGCAGGGAGTTTGTTGTGCTGAGGTGACCCCCAGCCAGGCTAGACTAGAGGTCACTGCCCCGGGGTTTCAGTCTCTCTGTACTGAGGCTTGCTGAGCTGCCTCAGTTTCCCCTGAGGCTCCCTGAGTCCTGCTCCCTCAATACGGCCTGCAGATGGTCATCTGTGAGTGGATCCAGCTGCTGTGGTCACTCTAGACCCAGATGGCCTCGGGCTGTTTCCCCCAGCCAAGGCCACCTCCTTCCTCACTGTCCGACTTTACTCTTTAAGGGACTGTGTGCTGGCCCATCCGGCCATCCGCAGCTGGTGGTGCCTGTGTGTGTATCCACGGACTGACTGTGTGCCTCTCTGTGTCGTGTGTGTGTGTGTGTGTGTGTGGTCTGTCTATACACCGTGATTCTCAGCTCTGACTGTGGCTTGGTACCTGCCCGAGGCCTGTGTTGGTGTGCCGCTTGCTTCACCATGACCCTGTGGACGTGTGTTCTTCCTGTCTGTGCTCTGGGCATGTTCACTGTGTGTCTCTTCGCCTGTGTGCGTGTTTCTGGTTGTTTGTGGTCTCTGTGTATCTCTATTTGCTTGCATGCGTGTGTGTGTGTGTGTGTGTGTGTGTGATGTGTTCCGTTCTCCCCGATTGGGACCCTGGTTGTGTGTCTTGTCTGACTGTGTAGCTGAGATCTGACTTTGCACGTGTGTCTGAGGCCGTGTCACTGGTCTGACTGTGTGCATGTTGTGTCTGCCTGGAATAGGGGAGGTGTCTTGTCCACCTTGTTGCCTGACATTGGGTCTTCCAGTGCTCCCTGTGTGTGTGTGTCTGCAGCCTCTGTCCAGCCTGTCAGAGGTGTCTGTGTGTGTGTCCATGGTCTTTGTGCCTGTGTACACATCTTTATCTCTGACTTGTCCTGCGGGTGTGGCCTGACTGTGTGCACATATCCCTGTCCCCATCTTATCCTGCAGGTGTGGCCTGACTGTGTGCACACATCTATCCCCCCCCCCCATCTTATCCTGCGGGTGTGGTCTGACTGTACACCTCTGTATGTCTGTAGTCTCATGGTGTGCAAGCTGAGCCCTCCCTTGCTCCCTTCAAGCAAACTGCCATCACCCTTCCCCCCTTTGCACCCTTTGATGACCCGGGCAACACCAGCCCAGCCTGCCCCAAGGCCGCCCCAGGGCTGGGCGAGGTGACCGCAGGCTGTTATTTTGGGACTAAGAGTCACAGCCACCGCCCTGTCATTACGTGGCCTTTGTCCCTGTGGTCACAGCCCTGACCCAGTCGGGGACACGCCTGGGAGGGGGCATGCAGGATGACCCAGCAGAGGCCCGAGGCCCCGTCCCTGGGGTGATGGAGAGGGAGACCCTTCCTGGGGGCATTGAAAGAGGGCTCCACCAGGGGGTCCGGCCTCTGATGAGGGCACCCTCCACCCTAGGGGCGTGGAAATGGACTTCAGATGATTGATGCTCATACTCGGTTGTGAGACATAGTGAACGCTGTGGTGGATGATCTTGGTCGCTTCTGAGGCTGTGGGATGTGGAGTGGGGCGTCGCCATCGAGGGCAGGAATACTTCCCCTTGGAGGGATAGTTGGGCTGGGACCTCTGGGGGGGGGGAGGGTCCAGCTTGGCCATGCAGGGTGAGGGTGGGGACGAGGGCATAGAAGGGACAAGGACTCAGTCCGGATGAGACCAGCTGTGGGATGCATCCTGAGGGGGCAGAAAGAGGTTGCTGAGGAACCTCGGGTGGGGGAGCGGGAGCCAAGGGAAGTGCTGCAGGTGGGGGGGATGGGCAGGTTTGCTTGCACAAAGTCCCGTGACCAGCAGGGCCCAGCTACAGGGCCAAGTGGCAGCAAGGAGTGGATCAGGGGTCGGGGGAATGTCGTTTGGAGGACCCTCAGGGGCATACTCAGCTCCAAGTGAGGGTGCAGCCCACGGGTGGGGCGCAGCCAGGGCTGAGCTGACATCACTTGTGGTTAAGTTAAGGCTTCATCTGAGGTCGGGCCTGGTCCAGGATCAGAGCTCAGTCCAGAGCGGGGACTCAGCTGGTGCCCAGGCTCCATCCGGGGTCGGGGGGCTCGGGCTGGGATTCAGGTACTTTGAGCTGTTTTCCTGCCTTCCCTCAGCCCTTTATGATCCTCCCAGATTTGAGCCTCCAGATTTCTGCACTCCCTGCTCACGATCGTCTTTTTTTTGTTTTCTGCAGACGCTGCCCCGTCTGACGTTCAGCTTGCGGCCTCTCTGTAAGGGACTGGGGGGCCATCCCCCTCCAGGACGGAGGTCAGAGGTCGCCACCAAGCATGGCGCCCACCCGGGGCCCTGCCGTGGTGTCTGTGGTTGGTCCCGTGGGCTTCCTCATGGTTCTGCTGGTTGGAGGCAGCATGGCAGAAGGTAAGAGGCTGCCATGAAATGCTCGTGTGTGTGTGTGTGTACACACGTGTGCATGTGCATGCATGTGCCCCCCCCCAAGGCTTCTGGTTTTGCCAAGCAGAGCCCCTGTCCTTCACAAATGAGGCAGCACAAAGAACCCAACGTGCAGATCTAAATAATACCGATGCTGTTGATGATGTAGTAACAATAAGGACACGTGAGAGCTGCTTCCTGAGCGCCGGCACCAGGGCAGCACCGGATACAGACGTTCCCCGCTTCAGCTCCCTCAAGCCTCACAGTTCCGTCATGCCAGCTCTGATTTCCAGTTTCTCAATGAGGCTCGGGGAAAGCAGGGACACCCTCCAGGTCACCCCTGCAGGCTGGTTCCCCTGCAGCAGGTATTAAATGCCACGGCCCAGGTGGCAGGCAAACCTCTGAAAGTAGAGCCAGAGCTGGCTGGTGTTGGACAGAGAAGAGCCAGGAGAGACTCCTCGGCAGAGAGGACATTGGGAGCAGGGCTTTGCAGACGTGTAGGAGTTGGCCAGTTCTGAGATGTCCCTGGTAAAGGTGACAGTTTTGGGGACGAGCAGGGCTGTGATTCTGACTGTAACACGGGGAGGGGCAGTTCCAGGCCCCAGGCCAAAACCCTGGTGGTGTGAGGGGCCTCAGAAGAGGTGTCCTTCAAGTCCGTGGGGACACGGGAGACCAGGTCAGCGGGTCCTCTCCTTGCAGAAACCGGGTTCTTGCTGTGAGCCAGCCTGCTGTGTGACTGGACCGGAGACACCCCGTTAGCCACCACATCTGCCTTGGGTTGAGTGGAGCTCGTTGCTTTGACATCCCCCCATCTTGTGACAGGACGCCTGAGAAGCCCTTCCTGCCGGTTGGGGTGCACAGTAGGCCCACAGCTCGGTGCTGCCAGGACCATGTTGTTAGGCCAGCTTGGGGGACATACGCGTCTGCTGTGCCCGTTTGCATTTTCTCCTGCTTTTCACATTGTTGTTATTTTAAAAATTCTGTTAAAACTTAGATAAGATCTCCCTCACTTGGAAGCTTGCGCTTCAGCAGCGTGAGTCACCTCCCCCATGCTGCGTGGCCACCGCCACTGGCCAGTTCCCGAGTGTGTCATGGCCCGTAGGAGCTGTGGACCCCGGAGCCAGGAGCCCTGGTGCTGCCGGGAAGGAGAGCGAGGCTGCTGACAGAGCCGGTGGGTGAAAGCCCCCAGCCGCTCTGCGGGGCAAACACCTGGTGGGCTGCTTATGTCAGGATGACCCCTGCAGGGCAGTGCATCTTCGTCACATGAGGCCACCAAGAGGCAGAATGGACAGTACCACCCCCCCAACAGCAAGTCTCCAGTGCACCCCTCCCTCCCCAGCAGTCACTGCCCTCCTCCTCCAGCACAGGGACCTTAGCCCCCTTGTCTGTGGTCACTGGGTCACTGGACACCTCACCCGGGTGGGATGGACCCTGTGATGCTTAGCCGCATGGACGTCCCTCCTGGGTGGAGTGGACCCCACGGTGCTCATCTATGTAGATGCCTCACCAGGGCGGGATGGACCCTGCAGCGCTCGTCCGTGTGACATCGCTATCCTGAGTGGGATGGACTCCACAGTGCTCGTTCACGTGGACGCCTCTCCGGGGCGGGGTGGACCCCGCAGTGTGGGTCCAACTACAGGCTCTTGGAGCTGTGACACAGGCATTGGGCTGCGCTTCCCCTGAGGGTGGAATGATTGTGTTTTCTTCAGTAAATGCCTGCTATGCTTCCGTGCCAGTCCCACACCAACCCTGGCAGAGGAGGACAGTCGTCTTCAGTCCTGCAGATGGGGAAACTGAGGCACAGTGAGGTTCATGGCAGGCAGGAGAGGGGCCTGCTGTGGTCTGAGCCCAGGTCCTCCAGTTCAGAGTCCACGCTCAGCCAGGGCCTGTCTCTCACCCAGGATCTGTTTTCTGCAGGGTGAGCTGCAGACTTCTCATTCCTTCCTGCTGTCCATCTGTCTGTCAGTCTGTGCAGGCGCTCTCTACCCCCAGCATTGCTGACTTGGGGCCAGATCCTGTCCTGTGATGGGGTCTGTCTGATGCACTGCATCCCTGGCCTCCACTCAGGATACCCCAGAATGTCCCCAGACATCACCCTGTGTCCCCTTGGGGTAGAATTATCCCCAGATGAGAACCTCTGCGTTGGAGGCTCCCACTAACCCTCAAGGGACTCCGCATTTGTCCCATATCTATCTGACCTCCTAGGACACTGTCAAACTGATATCCGCACACTGAGTGGAGGACGACAGAGGAGGGTGTCACAGAAGCTGGAGGGCCCCCTAGTTTACAGTGTCTGACCCAGAAGGAGTTCATGCAGGTGTGCGGTGTGAGCGGGGTCAAATCCCCTGTTCTCCAGATAGCTCCCACAAGGGGTCTCCCTAGCATTGCTGCCGTGGGGCGGGGTTCTTCCCTGGGGCGCAGCACCCGATGCCCCATGTAGGGGTCTGAGCTGCATCCCTGGCCGCCACCCACTTGATATGATAGCACACCCATGCACACACACACACACACTCACACTCTCCCCACCCCCAGATGTCAGAACTCCATGCATCTTCAGGAAAGAGTGCACCAGCCCCTCCACTGCCTGAACCCGCACTGACTGAAAAGTTAACCCACTGACTGAATAGTCAACGTCTTTGACAAAGAGCCCGGGAGGCACAGCGGTTAAGTGCTCGGCTGCTAGACAGAAGGTGGGAGGTCCCAACCCACCCAGTGGCTCTGCGGGAGCAAGACCTGGCAGCCTGCTCCCTAACGGTGACGGCCTGGAAGATTCCACAGGGCAGATCTGCCGTCACAGGGGTTCGTGGAGGGAAAAATTGTCCAGGTGTCACCTAAGAGCAACAACGACTGCTCAGTGCCCTGCTTCAGTCATAACGGTTAGCCTTGGGGATGAGGTGGGCTCGACTTTAGAAATCATATCAGAATCTCAGTAACAGCTCTAAAACAGAGGTGGTGAGGCTGAGGCTAGGAGTGGTCACAGAGACAAGAAGTTTGGCAGCTGCCCCAGGCTGGGTTCGAATCCTGGCTCTGTCCCGTGGCCTTGGGGAGGTCTGTGCTCGTTTACTCGGTTGGTGAGCTGTTACTAAGCACTTGCTGTGTGTCAAGCCCTGTCTTGGCACAGGGGACAGGACATAACTTGTTCTTGCCCCACGGAGGTGAAGTGTCCAAAAGAGACAGTGTACTGGGTGGGGGATGTTCTAGAACATAAGAGAGCTGGGAGGGGGCAGGAGTGAGGGAGGACCAGGGCTGTGGTCAGTGAGGGCTCACTGAGGAGGGGGCGTCTGAGCAGAGATCTCCAGGAGGTGAGAGTGTGGCCCATAATAATTGGGGAAGGGCTTTCCCAATGGGAGGAGAAGGAACAGGCTGTGCAAAGGTCCTGAGGCAGATGGGCCTGACATTGAGAGTAACAGTAAGGCTTGAGGCCAGAACAGAGAGAGGAGGAGAGCAGGGAGGGGCTGGAACAGGTCGTGCAGTGTCCTGTGGGCCTCGGGGAGGTGGGAACCCTGGAGGGATGCAAGCAGGGGAGACCTGAGTCTAACTCAGGATGACTTCCAGGATGCCTTGGGGGTCTTCTAGGAAGCAGTGGGGATTTTCCCAGGATGCAGTTGTGGTCTTCCCAGAAGGCAGCAGGGCCAACTCATATGGTGTTCCTGGACACCCCCTGGCGGCCGTGGGGAGGTTTGGGGTGAGATCGGAGCTGGAAGGCCAAGGTGGAGACCTGACACACGTCCAGCTGATCAGTGAGGTGGTGTGACTAAGGACTTGTGTAGCTTGCACACAGCCGGCTTTCCCTCTGGGGCCCTGTTATTACCCAGGTGCTGGTTGGAGCCTGGGTGGTTCGAACCTGCCTGGCAGCTCTGGGAAAGGAGGACTCAATCTGCTCCTGTAAAGATGCCAGCCAGGGAAATGCTGTGTGGCCACTCTGCTCTGTCACCTGTGGTCACTGTGAGCAGAACTGACTCCATAGTACCTGCTCCCACCACAGGTGCCTGCAGCAAGGAGAGCTGAGCTCGCATTTCCCAGCATTTCGACCCCAGGGGAGAATCTCTTTAGCAGAAATAGAATCCACATAGAATCCAGGAGTGGGTCCTGCACTGGGGCCCATGCTGCCGGCTGGGTGGGGGGCTAGTGCCAGGGAGCCTAGGGTGAGCAGGCGCCTGAGCATCCCATAGCTGAGACCAAGGGGAGTCAGTCATACTTAAGAAGCACCTAGTGGTTCCCATTGGGCCCTTCCCAGGATGCACTGGGGCTTCCCCAGGATGCTGTGAGGTCTTCCTAGGATGCCGAGGGGATTTTCCCAGGATGCGGTGGGGTCTTTCCAGAAGGCAGCGGGGCCAGCTCATAGGAAGTTGAGGGGTGCAGTAGGTGAGTTACCAGCTCTGTCACCAGAGTCTTTTCTGCAGTATCTGAAATGAATAGAAATAAGACCCGTGACCAGCTGGAGATGGAGAGTAACTCCCAGCCGCCTGAGAGGTCTGGTTTCTTGTGGGCATTGCCAATCCAAACCTCTATCTCTTGCACTCACTCGTCCATACCAAGAAATTTGGAAGACAACTGCCTGACCGATGAAGGGGAAAAGATCTAGATTTGTTCCCATTCCACAAAGCAATGATGCAGCAGAATGTGGAAATTACTGAACACTCTCGTTAATGTCACAAGCAAGTAAAATCATGCTGAAGATTATTTAAAAGTAACTGGAGCAATACAATTGATAACATTTAGAAAAATGAGAATTCCCACACTTCATTGTGCTTGGGCGCGTAGACCAAAAAGCAATTGTTCTCACAGAACAAGGGAACACTACATGGTTTATAGTCCGGAAAGGTGTGCATCAGGGCTGTATCTTTTCTCTATTCCTATTCAATCTGTATACTGAGCATATAATTTGAAAAGCCAGACTCAATGAAGGAGAATGTGGCCTCAGGATTGGAGGAAGACTTTCGGGGACAGAATCAGGAAAGATACAGTGGGGATCTGGAAAGATAGGG